ACTCAGCCTGTGTAGGGCCTGTGAGCTCTGTTTCAGGGTTTGGCCTTCACACTGAGGGCAGGAAGAGATCATCCAAGGACTTCAGTTAGAGAGATGATGTGGTTCCGGTGTGGGGACTGGATTAAAGTGGGCAGCTTTGCAGGCCAGGAGACCAGTGAATGGTGGGTTGAGAGGGATGCAGGCACAGGACAATGGACTGAGAAAATGGTAGCGGGGGTGGGGTGGGCGGGGAGGAACCAGAATGCCCAAGCCTTGTAGGGAAGCTGCTGCGTGGGCTCAGAGAGAAGGCCAAGAAGGTTGATGCTGACCTCCAGGTTCCAGATAGCAGCACAGTCCATCCATCTAAGAGGAAACAGGGCAGGGGCCCCAGGGTTCTAAGGGATAAGGAGGAGTTTGGTTTTGAATATGCTGAGATAAGAGTTGTGGGGGCATCCATTTGGGGAGATTTGTAACTCAGCTTCCTCCCTGGGTCTGTGTGGCTGATGGAGACCCTCCTAAGACTTGCAGACTCACCATTTTAATGAGCGATTTTTCCTTAGGTCTTTGCAAGAGAAGGCAATGTGCCCAACATCATCATTGCCGTAAGTACTCATCACTGGTCCTGTGGGCTTCAGTGGCTCGGTATGTCCTCCTCAGAGAGGCCTGGGTCCCGGCAGCCATCCGCAGTCCCCTCAAGCAAGGCAGATGGGCCAGTGGGGGCTCCCTGGATGTGGTGCTGGCTGTGGGTTGGGTCAGGGGAGAGGAATACAGATAGTGGTCAGCAGCAAAGCCAGAGGCTGAGCTCTTTCTGGAGGTGTGATGCGCTCCCTGGGGCTCTCATTCCCAGGGCCCCCCAGGAACTGGGAAAACGACAAGCATCCTGTGTCTGGCACGAGCCTTACTGGGCCCCGCACTGAAGGACGCCGTCCTGGAACTCAACGCTTCCAATGACAGGTGTGTCTGGGAGTCAGCACCGAAGCGGGATGGACGGGTTTTTGGGGTTTTGAGGTGTTGGAAACAGCCGCTTTCCTGCTCTGGGCTGTGCTTAAATAGCCCTGGTGGCACCATGGGTTACACGTTGTGCTCCTAACCACTATGTCAGCGATTCAAGTCCCGCAGCCTCTCCACAGAAGCAAGTTGAGGCCTGCTGCTCCTGCAAGAGTCTCGGGAATCCTGTGGAGCGGTTCTACCTTGGCCACTAGGGTTTCAATGGGTTGGAATTGACTTGCGGCCAGTGAGTTTGGGTTTCTGGGTTTGGTACTTGTCACCTGCTTTGCCGGTGATGCAAACGAGGCTGAGAATTTCTGGCTTGTTCATATGGACTCGTAAGCACATGACCTGCTTGCTTCCTTTTCAGATACAAAGTGGTAGAGGAGGGTGTGGTAAGGACTTGCTGACTAGAATGTCTGCGAAGTCTGCCTTCAGTTATTCCCTGAAGACACTGATCTTCATCCACCTGAAATGGTCATTGTCCTTTGAGTCCAGCTAGCTGCTCATCCCTTATGCCTGAACCTCTGCTATAACCTACTGCTAGGGAGTTAGTTCTGACTCAGACCAACTCCGTAGGACAGAATAGAGCTACTCCTTAGGATTTCTGATACTATAAACCTTTATGGGAACAGACAGCCTCATCTTACTCCCACAAAGTGACCGGTGGGTTTGAACTGGCAACCTTGCAGTTGGCAGCCCAACTCCTAAAGAGTATGTGATATATCTATCTATAAATATCGATTCCAGAAGTCATATATGAAGTGTTGTTATGATGTCATAGCTGCCTTGTATAGGGTTTCCAAGGAGCAGCTGGTGGGTTTGAACCACCAACCTTGCGGTTAACAGTATGGTACTTATCCTGCCGCACCACACTGGGACTCCAAATACCAATGGGTTCTACGTAATCATTGTTTCTTCTCACACTTACATCATTAAAACTCACTAGAGTTCAACAAAAGCTTGACAATGACAACAAAAATGGCAGGTCTAGGTTTCTGTCCTCTTGAAAATAATGAAGGGCCTCCAGCGATACAGTTAGAAACCTGAAAGATAACGGAGTAGGGACTGCTCCCCCAACATTGTGTGTGCGTGGTAAAATATGTTGCCTTCCAGGTAATTCCATCATTCTTCCATTTTCTTAGACTTTGGGTTTTTTTTTTTTTTTTAGCATAGTTGAGGATAATCAATGAATAATGATAAAACAATTAACTAGAATGTTTCAAATTATAAAAAGAGTAAGATCACTAAGACTCCAAAATGAATCTTACACTCTGAGAGGGTCCAATGGCTGCATAGGATAATTGCAAGATAAAATGAGTTTTATTGGATTTAAAAGAAAAATCCATTTTTCTTTGTTTTTTGGAAGACATCTTTTAGATAGAATGCATGTCATGAATTACCAATCTTTACAACTAATTAAAATTGCCCAAAAGAGAAACTCAAAACAAAGTTTGGGTCCGGTAGACCCTGATGGTAGGTATATGGAGTTGAAATTCCCCGTGAAGGAAGCAGAATTTGTCCTGGAAGGTGATGATAAAACACTGACTTCTTGTTTCAGGGGCATCGATGTTGTGAGGAATAAAATCAAAATGTTTGCTCAGCACAAAGTCACTCTTCCCAAAGGTCGGCACAAGATCATCATCCTGGATGAAGCAGACAGGTAGAGGGCTTTGCCTTATCTCTTTTGACCTCCGAATCTCTTGCAGAGCTTTACTGAATTGAGAGGAAAAGTTCTCCCGCCTTTACACCTTTCTGGTGGGTGGGGCTGTGCCTTAGACCTTGTCTATATTAGATAACTCACTTGTCCCAATATCCCATACGTGAACCGTTTAAATGGAAAGTGTTATTGACATTTGAAGAAATATAAAGGTGGTTTGTGTTCTTTGAAGGAAATTCAGAAACTTTTGTATATTATCTTGCTTTACATCTTTTCTTACAGCTATGTATGAGAGGGGGCTTCAGAAAGTTCATAGAGAAAAGGAATGAAATGAATGGTGTTTTCTCATGAGCTTTTTGTAGTACCCTCATACCTAGTTGAGGCTGTTCCACATGCATTTTTGCATCCTGGTTCTTCCTTCATGTTAAAAGCAGGGTTCCCTGTTGTTGAACTCTCCTGAACATCGTCTTTAGTAGCTATGTTGTTGTCCATTGTGTGGATGTACCTCTAATACTATTTATAATAATGAGGTGGTGGTTGTTAAGTGCCATTAAGTCGGTTCCCACTCACAGTGACCCTGTATAGGGTTTCTGAGGCTGTAAATCTTTGCAGGAGCAGAAAGCCTCATCTTTCTTCCGAGTAGTGGTTGGTGGGCTTGAACCACTGATCTTGTGGTTTGAAGTTGAGTACTTATCCTCTAGAGCCACTGGGATCCCTGTACTAATAATAGTAGCTAGCATTTATTAAACATTTACATGTAAGCATTTATAGTTTATCCAGGACCCTACTAAACATTTTACATGTTACAGCTCTTTGGTTGTTGTTGTTTTTGTGTGTGCATGGTAAAATATATACAACTTAAAATTAGCCATTTTAACCATTTTCAAGCACCCAACCCAGGGGTATCCATGATGCTCACAATGTTGTACAATCTTTACTATTTGTTTCCAAAACTTGTTCATCTCCTCAAAGGGAAACTCCATACCCACCAAGCAGTAACTCCCCATCCTTCCCTGGTAACCGTCATTAACCCCATGAGATCATACAAGATTTGTCCTTTTACAAGGGGCTGAGGTCATGCAGTATAATGTTCTCAAGGAGTCCTGGGATGGTGCTGTGGGATAAGCACTGGATCACAAGGGTCACGGTTCAAACTCACCAGCTGCTTCTTGGAAACCCATACAGGGTCGCTGTGAGTCAGAACCAACTCAAAGGCACTCAGCACCAACAATGCTCTTGTCCATTCCTGTGGTAGCATGATTGTCCGAACCTGATTTCTCTTTAGGGCTGAATAAGATTCCATTGTTTGGGTGGACCACCACTCTTTGGTTATCCATTCCCCTGCTGGTGGACACTTGGGTGGTTGTGACCTTTGCCTGTTGGGTGTTGGTATCACATTGAATTGTCATATAGTTGTTGGGAGCATGTCCATGGTACAGTGAGGGCACTGAGACTTGGGATCACAAGGCTGTAAGCAGAGCACGGGCTGACTGCAGGGCCTCTGCTTTGCGTGTGTGAGACACTAACGGGGGCCCTAGAGAGAGCCACACATGCTCTGAGGGGTCAAGGCGCCCAGTGTTTTGTTAGGAGAGCTACCTGTCGACATCATAAGGCCGTTTCCTGGGAGAGCCACACATGCTCTGAGGGGTCAAGGCGCCCAGTGTTTTGTTAGGAGAGCTACCTGTCGACATCATAAGGCCGTTTCCTGGGAGACCCGACTTCTGCATGTGGGGGTGCAGCCCCTCCAGGTGGGCAGTAAACCTGCTCTGTGAGTCTTAGAGAACACAGAAGTTTGTGGGGGTGGCATGGGTACTTCTGAGGCAGCCGTCTGGGCCAGGGGACGTGTCCTGTGTCCTGGGTTGTTGCTCATGGGGTGGGATTTGTGCCCAGTGGGCTTCAGGTCCCCGCAGCAAACCTGTCTCCCTTTGCGCTCCTTCCCAGCATGACAGATGGTGCCCAGCAAGCCCTGCGGAGAACCATGGAAATCTACTCCAAAACGACGCGCTTCGCTCTTGCCTGTAACGCCTCGGATAAAATTATAGGTGAGCACTGGATGGTTGGGGCCCGCACGGTGTCCTGTCAGCCCGCTAGCCAAACCCTGTGTCATCAGCTTTTTCCTTGACTCTTTATGCAATTCTGTATTGCTGTTAAATGTCATTGAGTCAGTTCCGACTCATGGTAACCCTGTGTAGGGTTTCTGAGTTGCCGCTGGTGGGTTTGAACTGCCGACCTTGTGGTTAGCAGTCCAGTGCTGATCCTACAGCGTCCCACCAGTAGTCTACACACTTCTGTGTTGTGAAGTGCTGTGGAGTCAGTTCTGACTCATAGCAACTCCGTATAGGGTTTCTGAAGAGCAGCTGGTGAGTTTGAACTGGCCAGTTTGTGGCTCCGAGTCCACTGCTGACCCTACAGTGCCACATCAGGAGTCCACACTTCTATGAGCAAGTGTTAATAGCTTTGTTGTTGTTTGCCATCAGTCGGTTCTGACGCATAGCGACCCTGTATAGCAGCATTTCCCATGCTGTAAATCTTTATGGCAATGGAAAGGCTCATCTTGCTCCAGGGAGCAGCTGGTGGATTCAAACTGCTGACCTTGTGGCTAGTAGCCCAGTGCATAATGCCACCAAGGCTCATTGGTTATTAGCTTTAGACATGAGTAGACCAGGGCTCAGAGATGTTGAATCATTTGCGCAGAGCCACAGAGCAAGTGGAAAAGCCGGTTGCAGCCTGAGACCTGAGTGACTCTTGCTCTCACGCACTGGGGACGTTTCTGCTGTTGCGTGTCTTAGCCCCTGCTCCTCTCCAAACGTGCCCACGTGCTTTGTGTTGACTCCAAGCACTTCTCATACACTTTGCACACTGGTATTTCTTCTCACCGAGAATTACTTCCTCTCTGAAGTCTTAAACGTCGTTTTCTCCCTGACCTCAGTGTTCTGTCCTGGCGGCCAGCTCACTGTCCCTCCCAGCAGCCCTTCTGCTTCCGCTGCTTTGAATCTGTCTGATTGCCACTGGTTCCTCATCCTCCCCTTTCCGGTGTGGACTGCATTCGTCGTCCAGCATCTCACCACTTCCTGCAACTCTCACATCCCACTGTCCTTCCCCACCAAGCTCCACCGAGCTCCCCCTTCTGCACCCCCAACTATTGTGTGGTGATGCAGAACAGGACTTTGTAAGCATGCTGTCCCCACAAAGTCCTGCTTTGTAGCCTGAGTAGTTCCAGGAAACCCCTGTGTCCTTTCACTGTCCCCATGTCGGTGTTTATTTGTTCATTGAATAAACATGTACACTGTTAAATGTCCTCTAAAGGCCTCAGTCAGGGAGTGGAGATTTATGGTGGCACATGTAGCTTGTCGCCGTACTCACCACTAAGACAGTCCTTGAGGGCAAGACATTGTTGCAGACACACCCCAGTGCAGGGACGTAGAACTGGATGATAATGAATTTGTCCACTGATTTGTTGGCCCAGAACGCTCTTGTCTGTCTCAAGGTTCTTGGGGAAACAGAAGTAGTGAGGTGTAGACAGAGAGATGGACTGATTTACTTCAAGGAATTGGCTCACCCAGTTGTGGGGGCCACCCAGTCTGAAATCTACAGGTCAGGCAGCAGACTGGAAACTTCTGAAGACTTGCACCCCAAGATCTGCAGATCAGTTGATGGGAAGTGTGTAGAGACGAGGAAGAGAGAATTCTGCCAAAATGCCTGTCTAAGAAGGCAGAGCACACCCTTCAAGCGTCCTTCTTAGCTGACAGATTGCGTTCCACTAGATGACATTGTGGAAAGTGATTGCATTGCATTGCATTAGAACAGTACAGCATAGCAACTAGTCCAGTGCTTGCCCAAACCACTGGAAACCGTGGCCCAGTCAGGCTGACACATCACACCTTCCTTTCTCATGGAATTAATTTTTCTGATACAGCCTAGAGTACTTGGATGAGTTTTTATTATATTTTAATTTTTTAGCTTTTTATTGTGACTTGAGTGACAACGGACAAAGCAGGTTAGTTTTCCATCCAACAATTCAGCCACATTTTGTCTCATGACACGGACTGCAGTGCCCACAATGTGACAGCACTCTTCCCCTTCCTCCTTTCCTGTCCCTTCCTGCCGTCAGCTTCTCCTTGGGCACATGCTGCCCGTTTGCTTTCCTAGGGCAGGTTGTTGTAAGAAGTGCTGCTATTGGTTGAACGTTGAGCCTTGGGGGGTCTGATGAATAAAGGAATATACAAACTTAGGAGTGAAATACTTAAAGAAATTTATCTCTACACCTTATGGGAGATGGTTTATGATCAGATAGCTGCAGGTCTGATTTCAGAAGCCCCAAGGAACTGAGCCTTGCATGGCTGCTAGAGTCACACCAGTGAAGCGCTTTCTGAGGAAGGTCACAGAGGCCTTACTCTGAGAGATATTTAAATGCTACAATTTCAGCTTCTGGTACCTCTCAGAAGAGAAAACTCTAGTACAGGAAACATGTAGTTGTTGTTTGAATCTCTGTGGCTTTTAGATAGGAGCCCCACTTCCTAAAGGATTGTTCCTTTGTGTGATTATCCTAAATGTGCACAAAAGGCTCTCTTGTGAAGCTTCCTGATTCCAGAGTTGCTGGGATGAACTGGCTCTTGGCAAAGGGGCTCTTTTAGAAGTCTCATTCATTTGACAGACATGGGACTTTTTTACGTGCAAAGCATCCACTGTGTACAAGTCAGGGTGAGGATGCAGGTTTCTAGGCAACCCGTCCCAACCCCCCAACCCCCGGCTCCCCAGCCCAATCTCCAATAGGAGGGTTGAATCCCCTAACCAGCAAGCCTGTCTCTGTCACCACCATAACCCGCCCCTGACCCAGTTCAGTTCTGTTTGTCCCACGGCAGGTCTCTGCCCTGGTGGGGGGCTGGGGCTCTGGGTGTTGTGTCTCCTTTTGCTCTATTGTTGTTGTTAGGTGCTGTCGAATCGGTTCTGACTCACAGCGGCGACCTTATTATGCACAACAGGACGGAACTCTGCCGGTTCCGGCGCCGTCCTCATGAGCACCATTATGCTTGAGCCCATTACTGTTGCCTTTGTGCCAATCCATGGTTTGGGGTCTTCTTTTTCTTTTGCTGACCCTCCACTGTAGCAACCTTGATGTCCTTCTCCAGGCACTGAGCCCTCCTGATAGTATGTCTGAAGTATGAGAGATTGAAGTCTTGCCATCCTGGCTCCTAAGGAGCATTCTTGCCGTGTTTTTTCCAGCATAGATTTGTTTCTTTTTCTGGCAGTCCATGGTACTTTCAGTATTCTCCAACACCAGAACTCAAATGCATCCATTCTTCTATGGTCTTCTGTTTTCATTTGTCTAGCTTTCACATGCATATGAAACAATTGACGAACATACCACGGCTTGGGTCAGGTGCACCTTAGTCCTTAAACTGATACTCTACTTTTGAACACTTTAAAGAGGTCTCGTGCAGCAGATTTGCCTAATGCACAAATGTTGTTTGATTTTTGGCTGCTGCTTCCATGAGTGTTGATTGTGGATCCAAACAAAATGAGGTCTTCGACAACTTCAGTCTTTTCTCCATTTGTTGTTTAGGGCCAAGTCGATTCTGACTCATAGCGACCCTGTATAGGGTTTCCGCAGAGCGGCTGGTGAGTTTGAACCACCAACCTTGCAGTTCAAGCCAACCTTATGGTCAAGTGCTAATCCTACAATGCCACACCATCAAGATGTTATTAATTGGTCCAGTTGTGAGGAGTTTTGTTTTCTTTATTTAAAGTTTTTCTGTTATGAACTGGGTGAAGGTTTACAGAGCAGTTCAGTTTTCATACACATTCTGACTCGTGTCATTGATTGTTGTCCCTACAGTGTAACATCACTCATCCCGCTGCCTCCCTGTTTCCTGTCTCCAGTCCTCCTTCCTCCCTAGCCCTTCTGAAATTGGTCCCTTGGGTCAGCACTGCCCTTCTGATCTCAAGTGGTTGATGATTATGATTGCACGGTGTGCCTAACTCCCTAGTGTTACTGTTCTTCTAGACCTGCCGCTTGTGTAACTGAAAACTGAACCAGGCCCGAAGGGTGACTAAGGGCCATAGTCTCTGGGATTCCCCCAGTCTGCCTGACCAGTAAGCCTGGTCTCCTATGATTTTGAGTTTTGTTGCACATTTTTATCACACTGTATTCAGAACCTTCTAATGTGATCGCTTTTCAAAGTGGTTGGTAGTGGCCGCTAGGGACCATCTAGTTTCTTCTGGTCTCAGGGCCAGCTCTCACTGTTTCTTGTCCTGGCTAGTAGAGTATCCCCAGGCCTCTCTGACACCTCTATCCCTTAGTGACTGCCTGGGCCATCTTCTAAGAGATAAAGCTGACCAACCACACCCCCACTTAGGCCTTTGTGGTCTCCTGTGTGCCTTCTTAGCTACACACGGAGGTCCACTCCCTGAACCTGCCACCCTTCATCATCTGTGTCTGAAGATGCCGTTCCCTCTGCCTGCATTGCGTTTCCACCCAGTTCAGAACTCGCCGCCCCTGTGGCCCTTTCTCAGTCGGCCCATCACTGCCCCCATAAGCCCTCCCGGAGTTCTGTTCTGTGGTGCCAGAGCCTTGTCATAATTGTTAGTCAGTGGCTTCATCCCCAACCCCAGGAAGCTGTCACCCCTTTATTTTCTAGAAATAAGTGACCAAGAGTCCTGGTTCTGTGCTGCAGGTTAACGTGCTGGACTGCAAGGTCGGCGGTTCAAGCTTACCAGCTGCTCCTCAGAAACCTATGTAGGGTCACTGAGTCACTATGACTCGACAGCACTTAGCACCAACAACAGATGTGGGGGCAAAGGACACAGAGGTGACTTTCGTCGGATGGTCTGGGACAGTTACGTGAGGTGCCAGGTTTCAGACGCTTTCAAAGATGGCTGTGATTTCAGCAGGAAATCACTTTGGCAGGCAGTGCGTGGGCAGACTAGAATGGTGAGGCTGGGGGAAGGTGTTGTCTATAAGGATCAGCGGATGGCTGTTATCTACAACATGAGTGCTGCCTTGGCAGGCCGAGGTGACAGCTTAGAACCTCAGGCCAGCAGGATGGGGTCAAAGTGCACACAGCTTGGTTTGGGGCCTGGGGGTCACAGAGCAGCTGCGATCAGTCTGAACCGAAGGTCAGAGATTCTGTAGTTGGCTGCGCAGTTTTCAGCTCTGGCTTTGCGCACATTTCCTTGGAGCTGTAACACCACACCCTAAGCCCAGACAGAATTGTACTGACACCTGGCAGGCAGGCACTTCTGATGTGCATTCAGGTGGCATCCATTCACCTGGTTGGTGCTGACTCACCTGAGGACTCATGGGTGCACGTGGGCCTCTCCACCCCTTCTGAGGTCTTTGCAGTGGTTGGCAGTTTGAAATGTAGCCCACTTGGTCAAGTCCCTTTGGAGCTGCCTGCTGGGTGGACTGAGAGGTGACGGTCCAGCTGAGCCTTGTGGATGGGGCAACTGCTCCTTGTAGGCACCAGGCACCTCACTCCTGCCCTGTCTGCTCAGAGCCCATTCAGTCACGCTGCGCAGTGCTCCGCTACACAAAGCTCAGCGATGCACAGATCCTGGCGAGGCTGATGAACGTGATCGAGAAGGAGAATGTGCCGCACACCGATGATGGCCTGGAAGCCATCATCTTCACCGCCCAGGGAGACATGAGGCAGGTGGGTGGCCTGGGCTGCTCCGGGGTGGGGGGCGGGGGAAGGAAGTGACCACCGCACAGGCACAGGAAAGGCAGAGCTGTAGACTCCTCTCTATGTGGCCTTCTCTCCCCACAGGCCCTGAACAACTTGCAGTCCACCTTCTCGGGCTTTGGCTTTATCAGCAGTGAGAATGTGTTCAAGGTACGTGCGCTGGTCCGGACATCACCGCCTACTAAAGCAGTGTTCACCTCCAGGGGCTGGGGGCGCGAAAAGGGGACTGGGTGGGAGGAAGGGGCAGGAGCTGTGCTGCAGGGGCTGTGGCTGAGGCCCCCTTTGGGTGGGAGGGCCTCTCCAGTAGCTGACCCTGCGCCCAGTTGTTCTTGTTCAGTTTAATGTTGACACCCTGGGAACGTACGCTGGGAGCTGATTTTAAAACTCAGTAATTATAGCAGCGTGGCAGTGGACTGCAAGGTTGGTTTGAGCCACAAGGTCAGTGGTTCAAATCCACCAGCCACTTCTCAGAAACCCTGTACAGGATGGCTATGACTCAGAAGTGACTTGATGGCACTCAGCAATAGTTAGAGCAATGGTAGGGAACAAGACATTTGTCTTCAAGCGTATTTGACACATATGATTCATTGATCGCAGCCCAGAGATTCTTATCAGCACTTGTTAGCTGAGGAAGTGGGCTCAGGTCAGGTAGGTGGCCAGCCCGAGACCACGCAGGCCAGAGCCCAGTACTGCCCCTTAGCAGCTTCAGACCTTGTACCCTGACATCTTTCTGTTCCGCGAGCTCGCCTCCTTGAGGGTGGACAGTAGTCCTCTTCAAGCCATAGGAAAAGACATTCTACACTTTGGTGAAGGGTTTTCTTTTGGAAATTCTTCTTTTTTTAAATGTTTATTGTGGTAAAATATCTGTTACAAAGTATTTGTGTTTTCATCAGTTTTTATGGGTATAATGTAGTGACGTAAATTGTGATCACCGCATTGTGTAATCTTCACCTCTAGCCTCTTCTAAATTTTTCTTTTTTAATAATTTCTTTGACTCCATCACACAATACACAAAACCAAGTTCAAAGTGAATTAAGGACCTAAGTGTGCAAACTGCTTAGGGAAGAATGGAGACGAGAAGGCCAAGGACAGCTTAGGGACTATCGAGCTATCTGAAGGTTGTCATAACAAAGCTTTAAATGTGATGTTGGACTAGAGACAAAATCCAAGGCCAGTGGAGGGAGTGTGGGCAGGCAGACTTGGGTCCAGGAAAGTGGAAGCATCGGTCACCAGCTTTCCTGTGGAGTGTGGCCCTGTTGGCAGGTCTTCACACTGAGTCTGGAGACCTTTCCTGGGAACGTGTGTTCTCACATTGGGTGGGAAGTTGGTTCCACGTGACCTTTCAATGCTTAAGGTTCTAAGACTTGAAGTAGTTCTGGACAAGTGATAGCCCAGCGGATACGGGAGGATAACTAATCATCTTATAGTTTCCCTGAAGCAAAGCTTCTCTATTGACAGCCTCTGCTTACTGTCCATTCATCTTGTGTTTGAGGAGCTAGAAAGCTTTTTCTGGCTACAGTAGATCGATGGGTACTTGTTAACATCTGTGGTGGTGAAAGAGCTCTTCCCAGACCTGGTCTGTTTCTGGAGAATTCCGTGCAAAGAGCAGAGTGAGATGTTGGTCACATGTACTGACAGCAGTTGATCCATCAGGGCCTTCGTTGCTGGTCCCTGCTGACTCCTAAGCAGCATGTGTTCTGTTCTTGGTTTGGGCAGGTCTGTGACGAGCCCCACCCCTTGCTGGTGAAGGAACTGATCCAGCATTGTGTGAATGCTGACATCGACGAAGCGTACAAGGTTGGCCTCCGCCCAATCCAGAAGAAACCTTTTATTCAAGCTGCTAGGGGGAACCCTATACTGCCGTGAAGCACACCTTCCCTGACTTTAAGCCAAGCAGGAGGTCGATTCATTGCGCTCTAAGAGCCGTGGATAAGAATATTTGTACATGCTGCTGGTAGACCATCTCCCAGTCTACCTTCAGACATTTGCAGGGGTGCCTGAAGCAATGCCACGAAATCAGTTACGTTGCTCCTCGTGATCTGGAAGGCCTGGCAAACAGGTGTTCAGCTCACCAAGAGCTCTGTGGCATTCAAGGTCCTCTCAAAAGTACATGGGTTGTCTACGTTGACCTGCCTGCTCCCAGTAGGGACTGTGATCTCAGTGCAGTAGGCTGGAGATTGGAGTGGGCTTGGCTTCCCTGCACCCTGGAACCCACCGTGGGAGGTGGTAAATAACCGCACTGTATCTGCTTTGGTCTAGATTCTTGCTCACCTGTGGCGTCTTGGCTATTCACCAGAAGACATCATTGGCAACATTTTTCGAGTGTGTAAAACCTTCCAAATGGCAGAATACCTGAAACTGGAATTCATTAAGGTCAGTGAGGTGGCGATTTCCTCAAGCATGAGGGCCATGGGGGCACATTTTTGTTTTGCTCACATACCTGGCACCGGAAACATGGCACCTAACAACAACAACATGATAATGGATATTTTGCTTTTTGAGAAACTGCAAAACCATGTTCCACAGTGGGGAAGCCATTTTACATTCCAGCCAGCAGTCCTGTTGTTGTTAGGTGCCATCGAGTTGGTACTGACTCACAGTGACCCTGTGAACAACAGAACCAAACACTGCCCGGTCCTGCACATCCTCACGACCCTTGCTATGTTTGAGCCCATTGCTGCTGCCTCTGTGCATATCCATCTCATTGGGGGCCTTCCTCTTTTTCTCTGACCCTCCACTTTACCAAACATGATGTCCTTCTCTAGGGATTGGTCCCTCCTGATAATATGAAAGACGAAGTCTGGCCGTCATGGCTTCCAAGAGGCATTCTGGCTGTACATCTTCTTCCAACACAGATCTGTTTGTTCTTCTGGCAGTCCATGGTACTTTCAATATTCTCCTCCAACACCATGACTCAAAAGCATCGATTCTTCTACCATCTTCCTTATTCACTGTCCTTCTTTCACATGCATATGAGGTTATTGAAAATACCTGAGTCATCAAACTGACATTTTTGCTCTTGAATACTCACTCTAAAGAGGTCTTGGACAGCAAATTTCCTAATGCATTACGTCGTTTGATTTCTTGACTGCTACATCCATGAGTGTTGATGTGTGATCTGAGCAAGATGAAATCTTTGACAACTTGTCTTTTCTCCATTTGTCTGGATGTTGTTTATTGGTCCAGTGATGCGAATTTTTATTTTCTTTACATTGAGATGTAACCCATACTGAAGGCTGAGATTTTTGACCTTCAACAGTAAGTTTTTGAAGTCTTCTTCACTTTCAGCAAGCAAGATTGTATCACCTGCATATCACAGGTTGTTATCCAGTCTTGATGCCACGTTCTTCTTCATATAATCCAGATTCTCAGATTATTTGCTCAGCATACAGATTGAATAAGTATGGAGAAATAATATAACCCTGGCGCACACCTTTCCTGATTTTAAACCATTCAGTGTTCCCTTGTTCTGGTAGAAAAACTGCCTCTTGGTTTGTGTACTGGTTTCTTAAGAACACAATTAATTAATTAATGAGAATACTCATTCTCCGCAATGTTGTCCATAGCTTGTCATGATCCACACAATCGGAAGCCAATAGTCAATAAAGCACAGGTAAACACCTTTCTGGTATTCTTTACTTTCTGCTAAGATCCATCTGACATCAGCAGTGATAGCCCTCGTTCCATGGTCTAGTCGGAATCTAGCTTAAGCCTTTGTCAGTTCTCTGTCAGTGTACTGTTGCAGCCATTTTTAAATGATCTTTAGCAAAATATTACTTGCATGTGATGTTCATGATATTGTCCAATGATTTCTGCATTCCATTGAGTCTCCTCTCTTTGGAATGGACACAAATATGGATCTCTTCTAATCAGTTGGCCAGGTAGCTGTCTTCCAAATTTCCAGTACTGCCTCACTGTCTTGAAAGATTTCACTTTTTATTCCATCACTTCCTGGTGCCTTGTTCTTTGCCAATTCCGTCAGTGTACCTTGGACTTCCTCCTTCAGTATAATTGGCTTTTGAATTTATGCTATTTCTTGAAATAGTTGAACATTGACTATTTTCTTTTGGTACAGTGACTTTTGTATTCCTTCCATCTTTTTTTTTTTTCCTTCCATCTTCTTTTGATGCTTTCTGCATCATTCAATATTTTACCCTGAGAAACCTTCAATAACAAAAGTCGAGACTTGAATTTTTTCTTCAGTTTCCCCAGCTTGATAAATGCTGAGCGTGTTCTTCCCTTTTGGTTTTCCGTCTCCAGATTTTTGCACATTTTGTTATAATATTTGACTTTGTCTTAAGCTGCCCTTTGAAATTTTCTGTTCAGTTCTTGTCCGTTCCCACTTCTTCCATTTGCTTTAGCATCTCTTTGCTGGATTGCAAGGTTCAGAGTCCCTTCTGGCATCCATTTTGGTCTTTTCCATCTTTGTCTTAATGACCTTTTGCTTTTTTCCTGTATGATGTTCTTGATGGCATCTCATACCTCTTCTGGTCTTTGGTCTTTAGTGTCTAATGCATCAAATCTGTTCTTTAAATGATCTCTAAATTCATGTGGCATATATTCAAGATCATATTTTGGCTCTCATGGACTTGTTTTAATTTTCTTCAGCTTCAGCCTGGACTTGCATATGAGCAATCGATGATCTATTCCACAGTCTGCCCCTGGCCTTGTATTGGCTGATAATATGAAGCTTTTCCACCATCTCTTTCCACAGACATAGTCAACTTGATTTCTGTCTATTCCCTCTGGTTAGGTCCATGTGTATAATGGTTACCATGTTGTTTAAAAAGGGTATTTACAGTGAAGAAGTCATTCGTCTTACAAAATTCTATCATGTGATCTCGAGCATCATTTCTATCACGAAGGCCATATCTTCCAACCACTGATCCTTCCTCTTTGTTTCCAACCTTTACGTTCCAGTCACCAGTAATTCTCGATACATCTTTATTGCGTGTTTGATCAATTTCAGACTGAAGAAGTTGGCTGATTTCTTCAGTGTCATCCTCACTGGCTTTAGGGGTAAATTTGAATAACAATGGTATTAACTGACTTCCTGTAGGCGCGTGGACAGAAGTCCTACTAGATGTGAAGTGGTGTTTCTTGGTAGTTTTCATCAAATATCTGCTGCACAAGACCTCTGTAAAGTGTTCAAGAGCAAAGATGTCAGCTTGAGGACTAAGGTGCGGCTGACCCAAGCCATGGTATTTCCAATAACCTCATATGTACATGAAAGCCAGGCAGTGAATAAGGAAGACTGTAGAAGAGTTGATGCATTTGAGTTAGGTGTTGGAGGAGAATATTGAAAGTGTCATGGACTGCCAAAAGAACCAACAGGTTTGTGTTGGAATAAGTGCAACCAGAGTGCTCCTTCGAAGCCAGGATAGCCAGATTTCATCTCTCATACTAAGGACATATTGTCAGGAGGGACCAGTTGCTGGAGAAGGATATCGTGTTTGGTAAGGTGGAGGGTTGAAGGAAAAGAGGACGACCCCCAACAAGATGGATTGGCCCAGTGGGAGCAAAAAGAGTTTTTTCCCTCTGGTGAAGATTTGCAGCCTTGGAAACCCTATACCGGGTTGCTGTGGGTCGGGATCGATTTAATGGCATGCAGCTAGTCAGGAGTTGAGTGTGGGTTTCGGGTTGCAGTGGTTCTCTCCATTGTATTACCAGCGTTACATTCGCTTTTTGTTGTTGCTTTGTGCTTTTTCCTTGGTATTTTTACTTTGCACTCAGCTTTAGTGGGTTGATTCGGTGGTAGAATTTCCCCTACACGTGGAGACGGGGTTCAGCTCTGAGTCAGAGCACCTTGGTTATAGCCACCACTGCCCATGGGGCTGACATGTCCGTGTGACGCCGGGCAGATTTCAGCACAGCTTCTAGACTAAGACAGATTTGGAAGAATGTCCTGGCAGTGTATGTCCAGAAATCGGCCTCAGCAAGCCCAGTGGATCACGGAGTTCAGTCCCCAGCTGATCGGGGGTAGAGCTGGGCCAGCATTTCACTGTTGTCATTGAATTCCCATTCAGCAGTAGCTCACCACCACCTCTGCCTCAGCCTTCGGTGTTCACCATCTCCTCTGTGGGCTCTTCTTACCACGCTCCTGCCTCTTTCAGCAGTTGTAATTGGTGTTAAATGCCATCGAGACAGTTCTGACTCATGGCGACCCTGTATATATAGCGTTTCCGAGGAGCAGCCGGTGAGTTTGAACCACCAACCTTGAGTTTCAGACCGACCTTGTGGTCCAGCGCATTGTCCCACAGTGCCACACCAGGACCGCTCCCTCAACTGACTGTGGTATTTGTTAGTCTGGTGAGGGGGACCACTGCGGGGCCACTACCTGTGTCCAGAGTTTGCTGTCCCTTCAGGCTTTACCTACTGAGGAGAGATGTTTCCTTTGACTTGTGCAGCGGCGACCGCTCCCCCCTGCTCCCCTCCTGCTCTGGCCCCCAGTTCTGATCCTTAGAGGGGCCTGTAGCCCAACACTGTGACCTGTTAGCGACTTGTTTAAGCTTGTTGCACCTCCCTCTCTGACCCTGCTTTGCCTCAAGTGAGCCAGTGCGAACGTCGCTTCATCTCGGATGTTGCCCTGGTTTCCTTGAACTTAGACCTCAGCTCTCTCCTGGATTTCTTTCTCTGCTGAAGATAACTCCTGATTTTGTAGCTCGTCCAGCTTTTCCTGCTGCTAGGATGGGAGGGTGCCCACTAGCAGGAGAACCCTCCCTCCATTACTATCTGCCTCATATCTGCTCCTTCCTCGTGACAGACTCCACGGGGCCACGGGGCAGTCTCCACTGGTGATGTCCTAAACTCTGGGTTCCTCAGGCTGAGGAGTCAAAAACATTGGTCCACAATGGCAGTGACCTTTACTAAACACTGTTAGTGTGCTGTTTCTCCACACATCCCCCAGCTGGATGGTGTTTCCATCTTGGTGTGGTGCTGTTTGACTGCTTGAACAAGGTTGGTGGTTCAAACCCAGCCGCTGCTCCTTGGAAACCCTATACAGGTCAGTTATGAGTTGGAACTGACTTGAAGACACTTAACAGTATCAACCTTTCCCTGAAGAATTCTGTGCTTCTCAGTGGACACCACGTCAGAACCAGTTTTGGCATCCCTGAGGGACCAAACCGTGTTCCTTTTCAATGTTCTTTAAGTTCGGGGAACAAAAAGAAGCCTGAAGGAGTAAGCTCAGGACTGTAGGGTGGGGGAAGGGTTCCCAATGAAATACTCACAGGACAGCCCTTGTACCCTCCCAGAACAAGTAGACGTATAGTGGTGGGAAAATACTCCACGGTGCAACTTTCCTGCCCTTTTTCTCACCGTTGTAGATTTCAGTTTTCTTGAAACTTCTTCCTAATAAGCTTCCATGATTGTCCTATGTTTTCATTAAGTGTTCTCTAGTTGGTTCCGATCCATAGTGACCCTGTCTAGGGTTTCCAAGGAGTGACTGGTGAGCTTGAACCACCAACCTTGTGGTTCAAACAACCTTGCAGTCCAGCGCATTAACCCACAGAGTCACCAGGACTCCTGATTGTCCTACATGCATCAAGAAAATCTATGAAGATGACAATCGTTGGAAATCCAAAAACTCCATAACCTTCTGAGCAGATCCCCTCAGAACCCTTGTTTTTGGAGTCACCCTCAGATAAGCGGGATATTCCTGAGAGAACTTGTCCACAGCCATCGGCTGATCACAGAAACATGTTGAAACACGTTTTGACAATACACTGTGCATGTGTGGATGGAGCCTGCTGTAATACTGTCTGAGTAACTTGTCTCTTCTCCACCTGGGCTTCCTCCTGGCATGTGTGGCTTCTGTGACAAGTGTGGTTTTGGGTTGAGGGGTTGGTACCATTTTGTGAGACTGTCCTCCACAGAGCAGTGCACAGATGCTGTGCCTGGCCCACCATCTTGGGTCTTGGGGAACCTTCCAGAGCCAGTTCTTGGACCCTCCAAGGTCTGTGGCTGAGAAATACCTACTCTCACCATAAAACACCAGCATCCTTTTAGGGAACAAGTGGACCTTTGGTCTGCTTAACCTATTGCATTATTCATTATATCTGAGAGTTCAGTGTGTTTATTTTTTTAATCTTTACCTCTTACTGATTTTGTTGCTGTTGAGAGGATACAGCGCAAACACTGCCTGAATTCTGAATAAACCATTGGATCAGCTTTTATGAATTAGCCCCTCCCCCCTAGTAAGCAGATATCAATTTGGTTTGTGTTTCAGGAAATCGGATACACGCATATGAAAATTGCAGAAGGTGTGCAGTCTCTCCTGCAGATGGCCGGTCTGCTGGCCAGGCTGTGTCAGAAAACAATGGCCCCGGTGACCAGTTAGAGAGAGTGGACACTTCCTGCATTGGGTTGCGCAAAGCCTCCTTCCTGAGAGACGTGGAGCAGGGCATGCCGGTGCCTCTGCTGCTTCTCACATCTCCCGGTGGTCTGCGAGGGTCCCCAGTCAACTCCACGCTCACAGCTGTGTGGCAGCAAACGTCCCAGGGAAACTCGGGCCCGGCCCGGGACGTGGGTGCAGTCACTGCGGAATAAAACTTATAATTCGGAACATTCTTTACTTGGGTCTGTGGAGGAATCTCTCCGGGGTGCAGCAAGCCTTTGGGAAAACCACTTCCTGTCTCTGTGCCCAGCTGCCAACAGAGATTGTGATTGGGTGACAGGACAAGCTGGTCTCCGTGTTTCTGGAAACCGAAAGGGACCTGCTCCTAGAGAGAAGGCAGGACTTGGTCTTTTGCTGACTGTTTAGTCTCAGAGCAGCCGGGGCCATGAGCCCTTCCCAAAGGGCTTACCCCCGGTCACTGGTTCCCGTGATGCCAATGTATGCACTCAGGAAACTCCCAGGCATGCCGCCTGTCACCTGGCCTGTGGCGTAGCCATGTCTGCTGATTGCATTAGGCTCCCCAGTGAATTTTACATGCATTTGAAGAATGACTTTTCTTGTTTTTTCCTTTTTTTTTTTAATTATGGAAATTTCACTTGTATACAAAAGTTGTTAGTTATCGTTCAGTCAGCCCGACTCACGGGGGCATGACTCAATAGTGGAAGGAAACGCTGCTCAGTCAGTGTGGTCAGACTGTGATACACTGGTTGATTTTCAGCTAGTCACCAGGCCTTTCATCCTAGCCCATCTAGGCCTAAAAGCTCTGCTGGAACCCATTCAGCATCATAGCATCCCGCCAGCCTCCAGTGTCCAGGAACCCGAGTCTTCCTCACGGATGACGAGAATTATATACCTGGACCATCAAGCAGATAGAACGATACAGTGAGCCCTCGCATACTCACCTTGAACAATGTTATCAACACTGATGAATCTTGTTGGCGCTGTATTCCATCCCAACACACAGGTTACTAAATGTTAGACTTCATCTTATGCCGGGAGCCAGTCCCGGCAAATTTATTTCAGGAATTTTTCCGAAGGTTGATGCATGCATCGGCGGAAAGAATTACACATTGTCGATAAGTTATGATGAATTCAAAATCTTCTTACTACATGCTTTATTCTTCTCTCATTCTTTACTCCCCTGTTCTCCTGCTCCACCCTTCTCCTTTTACCTTCTGCTCTTTCATTCTCCTCTATTCTCCTTCTCCCCTCCTGTTTATTCTCCTTCTCTTCTTCCTACATGCTTTTTTATTCTTCTTTTTCCTTCTTCTTCTTCTCTACCCACCTCTACTTACTTATTCTATCTTACATGCGTTATTATCCTTCTTCCTTTTTCACACTACTCCCCACTCTTTTTCCTTCTCCCCATTACTTCCCTTATTCTCTACATTCCTCTTTTTACTCTTTTTCCTTCTATCCCTATTCTATCTTAAACCCCCTTATATACTGTTAAAAAAGCATTGCTTTCATAGTAATCAATGTCTTCAAAATACAATCTATTCTGAGGCACACATTCTTCATGGTTACGACCCTTAGATTTACAACAAAGATGAGAAGTTAAAGCAACACATACGAGAGACATCCTGGTGCCTTGAAACCTTTTAGTTAAACATTTGTTCCTATATAAATCTATTCTTTTCTCTGAGAAGCAAGTTAACGTTCACATATATTTCTTAACCTTTTTCTGTTAAGTCTTGTTAATTTTAGTTGTTAGGTGCAATTAACTTCTTCCATACACTATCTGTTTATAGCCTACAAAATCATCACCTATCAGAACATTTAAAAAGCTGAGGCTATGAAAAACAACTTCTCTATTTTACTGATCATTAATTTAAGAATGTCTAAGACTTTTTATTTAGTATCTGTATATACCCATAGCCTTTATCTATAATCTAATTGTTTTTAGGAATTTTTGTACCCACAGCCCTTATTTATGGCCTAGTTGCTTTTAGGGATTCTTTATTGCCTTAAACTAAGGCTACAAGGAAGAATGTTTATAATCACTAAGCCTAAATTGGTAGTAATTCAATTGACAAATCCTGTCTCCTAGCAATCTTAAGAACATTGTTAATATAAGTATTAAAACTACCCATGATTACAAGTAGAATAAAACGTAGCTAACATATAGCTTCTAACTTTTAATAAAAATATACTAAAGTGTGGGAGAGTCAAAATCTAAAGTAAAGGGATACTAATAAAATCATGAATAAATCAGAGAATGATTCAAAAGGAAAAAAATTAACTAGGGGCCTGTGCATAGAATATTTCTCCCTTGCAGCTCTGCGATCCAAGGAAAATAATTCATTGTTGCTTTGCAAAAACAATTCTATGTGCAGGGTCCCCGTCGTCTCATTTATTTATTTTAATTCCTTGATTAATATGTCTCAATTTCTTCGTTTTAATTCCTTAATTATTATGGCTCCTGCCAATCTTAATGATGTTTTTTAAAGGAGGGAGGTGAAGCCTGGATTGAAAACATACTCTGTGTCATGCTAACTTCCAGGTGTGTCCACAGGCCCTTGTGCTGTGGACAGTACCGGGACAGCCGGCATTGCCCATCTGGTTGTCTCTTGTCCCTTTAACTCCCAGCCCCTGCCTAGCACTGCCCCTCCTGGGCAAGTTCAGTCACTTCCCCAGACCACGCTCAAACACAGACGAAATCAACCCAGGAAAGTCTCCAGTACTCAAAGAGTGGCTGTTTGACTTTTAAAAGGACAAAAATCATTGGAGATAGCCATTGCCCTCAAAACCTGCAGGTTAACTTTTACAAAACCCTTTCACGTGATTATTCTCAGTCTTACTTATTTTTGTCTTGAGCCTCTCAATCCTGTGAGGTAAAGGCATGGTTTTTGCTGGACTGGCGGAGCCGACCCCTCCTGGGGGTTTCGTCTCCAGAGCTGGTGTCTCATAACCACAGTGCAGAAATGAATCCTGGTTTTAGTTCTCTGACTCTGAGTCTCTAGAATCAGGTCTGAGGTATGTGAAGCTACTTGTGGCCAGTGGTTGAGTTTTAGATATTTTCTAAAAAAAGTGTTTTAGCTATTTGTGTCATAAACATTTTCTCATGGAAAGACTTAGTAGGGTACCCTAGAGGATGCTGGGCTTGAGGACCAGATCCCACCTCTCTGGGTCTCAGATGCCTTCTATTAAAAGGGCCTGTGGTGGGAGGGATCACTTTTGTAGGTCCTTTCTTGTAATTCCCACCAAATGATTGTATGGCACTGTGCAGCTAGGTCCTTATGGCCCACCAAGGGCTAGACCCAAGCCAAACCCCTACTTCCATGGAGTCAGTTCTGACTCTTAGCCACCCCATAAGGACTGAACAGAGTTTTCTAAGACTGTAAATCCTGACCGGTGCAGACAGCCTTATCTTTTGCCTGTGGTGTGGCTGGTAGGTTTGAACTGCCAGCCTTTTGATTAGCAGCCCAATGTTTAATGCTCTGCACCACTAGGGCTCGTCAGGGAGGCTGGGCAATTTGCAGTCATGCAAATACGGTGTGTGCCATCTTTGTTGGTGTGGAACCATGCAAATCAACTAGGTGCAGAGCATCTTCTTTGGACCCTGATAAGAACCTTCTAAACCCAGGAGACAGAGCTTCTCACTGTCTCGCCAGTGTCCGTGCAAGAAGCAGCAGAACCAGGAGGCCAGCAGGAGATGGCGTGGTGGGCTCCCCAATCCACAGATCAAGAGAGCTGAGCGCCTTCGAGCAGGAGGCTAGCTAGCAGAGTGGGGTTCCCCTGGGCACTTGGCAGAGCTAGGCTCCCCGACCCATGACCCAGGCACCTTCAGGCTGAGGCTTACTGGTCGAGTGGGGTCCCTATGGGTGTTTACCAGGGGAGCAAAAGCTTTGTGATGCTTGTCTGAGTAGAGGCCTGGATGAGCTCAGGGGCCCAGGGGCGGGTGTCTAAGAAGCTGTCCTGACTGAAGTGTCGTGAGTTGTTCCTGTTCCCGAGCTGTAACTTGATACTTCCCTAATACACCCTGTAATGCTCAGTATTGCCTGCAAGTTCCCATAGCAATGAATTATGGAACCAGCAGAGTGCCCTGGGACAGAGGGCTGGTGTGGGCATTGGAACAGAGGTTGGTGAGATGGCATGTCTAACCTTGGCTTCACAGGAATCAGCCTTCAGCTGCTGGTGCCGACAATGACTCTTCCTCCCCCCCCCCCCACCCTGTTGAAGGCACCCACACGCCACCATGTGTTACATACAGGCTTCTCTGGGCCTCTCCAAGGGGCTCTGGTAGTGCAGGGTTACTAACTGCAAGGCCAGTAGTTCAAATCTACCAGAAAGATGAGGCTTTCAGCTTCTGTAAAGATTTACCACCTCGGAAACCCTATGTAGGCTCTCATGAGTCAGAACCGACACCACTGCCACCACCTAGGCCTCTGGGGTCTGTTTTTAACAGGAAGCAGGAAAAACAGACACCTAACTCCTCGGTTAGTAAACAGACAGTTTATTCTGGTCCCTGTGGTCTTATCCATGAGTCAGCCAGCCTCGGGCAGAGGGGATTTCAGGGCAACTGCGGAGATCCCCTCCTCCTGGGGCCTTGGCCACTTCCTGGCGGCCAGCTCCCCTGGGATGTTCATTTTGTCCTCAAACATTTCCAGCAAAGTGTCACCAAAGATGACCATGACCTCATTTCCTGAGTAATCGCAGGGCCCCTCTGCAGGACAGATGCGAGATGGGGTTCCCCTTGATTAGTATGCGGAAACTAAGTCCACGTAATGCTTTATAGGAGAGAAGAGAGACCAAAGTCTAACCTGGAGTATAGAATATTAAATATGGCTCCACCTATATAAATTAACTGTACAAGCTTGCAGTCATGAACAAGCAAATGATCCAAATCCAAAGCAGAAAAGGACACCAATGCCCTGTGGGGTGGTTTTGATAAAAGGGGTTATTGTTGTTAAGTGCCTTCGAGTCGGTTGCTACTCATAGTGACCCTGTATAGGGTTTCCATGGAGCGGCTGGTGAGCTTGAACAGCCAACCTTGCAGTTCAAACCATCATTGCAGTCCGGCGCATTAGCCCATAGCGCCACACTCTAGGCTAAAGAGGGTGGGGGATGCCATTTGCTTCAGCTCCAGCCCCTGCCCGTGGAAGGCCAGGTCAGCAAGAGGGCTCTGCGGTTCCATGGAATGTCTGAGGCCCGGTGGTCCCTGGGATGTGCTTCTGCCCCTCCAGAACTACACGACCCTGGGAAGGTGGTGTATGGGCCTGTGATGTCCGCTCTCTGCCTTGGCTCCTTCAATGTAGAAGACAAGAATTGGGTCAAAGGACAAGGTTTGCCTTGGCTAGGATGTTGTGTGTGTGACTGGCTGGGAGAAAGCAGGCACTGCCTTGCCAGTGCCACCCACCCCCACACCAAGTATGAGGAGAGAAACTGCCTTGGATGCCTCCCCTGCAGGGACACTACCCAGGTTTGTGACTCCAGCCTGAACCTCTCCCCTGAGTCCCTGCTTGAATCTCTGGCTGCAGACCTCCTGTGTCCACCTGGCTGGCTAGTGGGCTGTCTTACCCGCAGGCAGTGTGCCCCCATATCACCTGACCTTCCTGCCAAACCTGCTTCCCTTCCTTCCGCAGCCCACTGGCTAACTTCAAATGCTCCCGCTAGCTTGCTGACACACCACCACCACCACCATCTTCTCCATTTCTCCTCCCACACCCACACAGCACAGTAGTCAACACTGTTGGCTTTACTTTCAAAATGTATCCAGTCCCATTTGGCCCAGGTTCACTGCCACCACCTGTGTCCCCATTTGTCTTGAATTAGGGCCTTAACTTCCTTGTTCCTGGTTCATTTCCCAAATCTTAGCACGTCTTTGGTTTCAGACCTAGTTCCTCCTCACTCAGTGAACACCCAAGTGCTAACTCTCAGCACCCTGGCCCCTACCCCGACCTTCCTTACTTTCCCCTCACTCCCTCCTCTCCTGCCCCCCTGGCCTCCTCCAGTAAATTGAGTGCTGTTGATTCAGAGTGTGGCCACCTCAGACCTCATGACAGAGTACAACTGTGCTCCACAGGGATTCAGATGCTGATCACCAGGCCTTTTTCAGTGGCATCTCGGTGGATTCTAGCTGCCAACGCTTGGCTAGCAGCTGAGAGCCCTAAAACTTTGTAGCCCCCCAGGACTCCCTGGCCGCCTTGTGGAGCTTGGGAAAGGTTTCCCTGGCCTCTCCTCTCCCCACCCTCCTACTCCTTGCCCCCTGGTCTGCCATACTTCTCTTCAAAGGACTGACCACCATCTAACACAGGATTCGCTGCCTCTTAGTTATTTCTTAATTAATATTAGTATTTATGGTCCCTCCCACAAGAATATCAATTCTAAGAGGTGAGGAACTTTGTGTTTTGTTGATTAATGTCCCTGGCATCTAGAGCAGGTGCCCGCCCATACTGAATGAATGAATGGTGGCCTTGTGGCTTCCCTGCTGGCGCCATATACAAATGGCTGAATCCTCCCTCCCTCTGGCCTGTGTGATTCACCTTTTCTCCCACACCAGGCCTGGAGGGCAGCTGTGCACAAGTCCCCTGGGTCAGTTGTCCTGCCTCCCATACACCCATGGCCGCCAGGTTCCTGTCCCTTCCCCCACTGCTGGCTCTCAGTGCCCACCTGCCCAAGTCCAGCCTTCAGTGACGAGGTCCTGACAGGCTTATGCTTGCCTGCAATGTCTCATCTAAGAGGTCTGTACCCATGTTGCAAGTGAGGAAGTGGGTTCTGAGGGTGTTGCTGGGAGACCTTTCACCTCACCACTCCTAGAAGACTTGCCCCGCTGACCGCTGCACCCGCCCCCCAAGTCCTACAGGGAGCGCGAGCCAGGCAGGCCTTGCTGGGGTATGTCCCTCTGCCTGAGATAACCATCTAAGGAGGATAGCCTGTCGGCACCTCGTGTGCTCCTCCAGGACACCCCCTGCAGCCCAGCTCCCCACCAAGGGCTGTACCTTGCTCAGGATCCTCTAGGCAGTCCCAGATTCCACGTCCCCGTTCACATAATCTGGCTCGCTACCATCCTCGTCGGGGCTGCCTACTGGGGAAGGAGACACCTCACTCAGCATGAGCTCTGGGTGACAGTCTGGCAGGTGGTCAGATGAGCCCAGCCCAGCAACCCACGTGGGAAGGCCACACTGGATGGGGACTCACATGAAGGATGCCCCACATGTCACTGTGGGTTTGGCCTGGCCTCCCCAGATCAGGGCTCCCAGACTTCCCACCCCCGAGGCTACCCTGGGAAGCTGCCCGCTGGTGAGCTCTTTCCTGGGGCCACCTACCCACAATTCTCCTGGACTCCCGCCAGTGTTGGATGGACATGGAGTTCTGGTAGTCCTCTGAGTCCTCGTCATCTGTGTGGGGACATTCCTTAGGGCCCCCTGTCCACTCAGCAGGGGAGGAGGGTCCCGGGAGTTCACCTGCACCTCCCTCATTAGGTACCATCCCCAAGGACACCTGGGACAATGCTCTACCCAAAGGCACTTTTGGGCACCTGAGGGTGATGCCTTTATGCGGGGTGGCCTTCAGTCTGCCCAGATAGGGCCTCTCCCTGCCCACCCCTCGGTCGGCCCCCTCACCTAGCTTGGCACTGCTCGGCTTGCAGATGAGCACATTCTGGTAGGAGCTGGAGTCATCCTCCTCTGCCGAGAGGCCCCACACACTGAATGGACATGTCCCCATCCCCACCTCCATCCCTCACCCACACGCTCAGGTCCCTGGCCCCTGGTCCCTCCAGGGAAACTTCCTAGGGGCCTGGCCTGGCTGCTGCTCTGAGGACAGGCCCCAGGGTGGGGCTCCATGGGAGGTGGGGTGAAGGGAGGAAATAACAACATCAAATTCTGGTCAGTGTGCTGCTGAGGGCTGGGAGGGGGCCAGACCCCTCATGCTGAGCTCTTACACACATACACACACACACACACACAGCCCCATCTTCAGCTCAAGCTACATGAAAGGGACTAACGGAGGGCCCCCCAACCCCTGGGGTGTGGGGGGGCAGGAGGCTCTGCCCTTCCCACTAGGGTATCCTCCCCCCATAACTCAGGAAGGAACCCAGGTTGGGGAGCTGGATTTAAGTCCCCCAGGCCAGTACACCCACCAGCAGACATGCCCCACCTTTGGGCCTCAGTTTCTCCTGTGACGCTAAGGTGTTAGAAGTCACTCATCCCAGCATCCTCGGAGCATGCACAGTGACCCTGACCTGGGCCATTCTCTGAGGTCCCAGATGCACTCCCCCCCGCCGGGACTCCTTCTCCAAGGAGTCCCACACCCCTCTCCCTCCCCTTCCGGCTGTCCAGCCTTCCTGGCAACCCATCCTCGCCCTCTGCCTCACCTTCCAGGGCCTTCTGGCACTGTCCCCAGTTATAATAATCTGCAGTGATGGGCTCTCTGGCCAGGAAGACACAGACAAGTGGGGATGAGGAGTGGGGACCCCAATGGAGGGGGGGCACCAGCCACCCACTCCCACTGCTCCCTCCTTCCACACCAGGGCTGGAGGGGACTGCAGCCTGCCTCTAGCCACATGGGCCTTGTTCTGGGCCTCAGTTTGCCCATCTGTGAAATGAGCAGATAGTCCTGGGGGATCTAGACTCTAGGTTACTTGTCTTCCCCCCGGGTGCCCCCCTCCCCAGAGCTGGGCCATGTCCCCATCCCACCAAGTATGAGGCCGAGAGAAGATTCTAGGTGAGGAAGACTGGGCTGTGGCCAGCAGGGACAGGCAGGGAGAAAGCCACTCACACATAGGCTGCATCGGACCCATGCCTGCTTCCTGAAGAGGAGATGAGACTCAGTTCTGAGCCCACCCCCCACAACCCTCAGCCCACCCCCCAACCCTCAGCCCTGGAGACTGCCTACCTCTGCAGAAGTTCTGGTACCTGGGAGATTCCGAACCTAGAAGGAAGCCAGGTTCATTGTTCCACTCTCCTCAGCCTGTCCCTCGTCCCCCCAGGAGGGCCCCTCCTCTGTGGTGCGGGTTCTCCAGGCTTCTCCAAGGGTCCCACCAGGGGGGTTACCTGCACCCATACCCACCTGTGCCTGGGGTCACTCACCTTTGGCACTGGGGGAGAATTGCAGGAGTTTGTCCTTCCTATGGGAGTGGGGGTATGGAGAGGCTGAAGGAATTGCTAAGGGACTTGGACCTCCTGATGGGGCCTTCAGGGTGGAGCACCCCAACTTGGGGAGGGAGTGAGATCTTGGCCTGGACTCAACCCGGTGGGGACCCCCGGGGCCCTCCTCCTCATCACCCCTGTGGAGCTGTGACTTTTCCAGGCCCAGGACAGGGAGCTCACTACTACCTTTGTGCTGGGTCCAGTACTTCATCCACCAGGGACCCTGACCATGCTTGCTCCACCACTGCAGAAGGGCAAAAGGGGTTTGGGCCAATCCCCAGCACACCCAGCTGCCACAGCTCCAATAGCCCTTTGCCCCACCAGACCTGGCCACCACCTCAGGGGCTGGGGACAGAAAGGATGTAGACAGGACTCACAAGAATAGGTCCGCGCCACCGCAAAGCTTTGTTGATTCGCATGTCTGGAAACAGAAGGCTATGGTGAGTTAGCAGCTGGCCTCCCCCCAGCCCAAGGGGCAGCGGGACAGGGGAGATGGACACACAGAGACGAGGGACAGAGAAGGGAGCGGAGAACCAGAGTGAGAGCAAGAAGGAAGCCCCTCTGGATCCCTAGCTCCCTGTTTACTCACTGGGTGTGCAGCCTGGGATCCAGCTGCCAGCCAGGCTGACCCCCCAAATCGTCTTCCCTGCTGGGCATCTTGGTGCCCCAGAGACCGTTATGAGGGCAGCTGAAGAGGTCTCCTTGAAGCCTGGCCCCCTACTCAGGGACCCTGCTGTGACTGGAAGGACAAGGTCTGCTACATTCCCAGGGGACCGCGGCCTTCTCTGGGTGTTCATACACACCATTCATTCCCAAATAGCCAGTAGGACAACGTCAAGACTCAGCAGAAATGCTGGGACCAAACCATCACCACCACTTTCTCCTTTGAGGCAGCTCCAATGGGCCCACCTAAAAGTCTGGATTTCCCAGCCTCCCTCCCGCTGGGCCATCACATGGCACTTCGGGACTTCCAGGGAAACAGCTGGTGCCCGATCTCGCTTTGTTCTTCTTAATACCTCTGAGACATATGGCCCCCCCAAAGCCCATAAATGGCCCCAGGGGTAGATAGGAATGAGAAGATTCTATTTTCAAATCTAGATGTGGTTTTTCAGTTATAAAAGGAAATGATAGCATGCGAATGTGTGTGTGTGTGTGTGTGTGTGTGTGTGTGTGTGTATACCCGGGTGTCTGTGTGCCTGAACACATACGTGTGAGACATGTGTTAGTTTGTGCATGGTGGGCTTGTGGGTGCGTGTGCATGTGTGTGTGTGCCTGAGCACACAAGTGTGAGACGTGTGAGCTTATGCATGATGGGCATGTGGGTGCACATATATGTGTGTGTACACCCGGGTGTCTGTGTGTCTGAGGACACACATGTGAGACATGTGAGCTTGTGCATGGTAGGTGTGTGGGTAGGTGTGTGTGCATGTGTGTGTGTACACTCGGGTGTCTGTGTGCCTGAGGACACACGTGTGAGACATGTGTTAGCTCATGCATGGTGAGTGTGTGGGTAGGAGCATACATATACACCCAGGTGTCTGTGTGCCTGAGGACACACGTGTGAGACATGTGTGAGCTCATGCGTGGTGGATGTGTGGGTAGGTGTGCGTGTGTGTGTGTGTGTGTGTACACCAGGGTATCTCTGTGCCTTAGCACACACGTATGAACATGTGTGAGCTCATGCATGGTGGGTGTTGGGGCAGGTCAGCATGCACACGTCGGGCTCAGAGGAATCCCTGTTCTCGGTTAGTCACTCTCTCGCTCCAGGACACCCCTGGCCATGGCCCTCATGTTCTTCGGTTTCAGCTTCCTCTGAACTCAGAGCCTCCGCTGCCGGAAGTGCCTGGTCTCTGCTCTGCCGGGGCTCAGTGACCTGTCCTGGTACCTCCACACCCCACCTTTCTGCTCCTGCTCCTAAGACTCCTATGGCGTTGCTTGGCCCCTCGACAAAGACTGAGGGCTCTTCTTGGCAATCCAGGCCCTCCTCCCTTCATCTAACAAGACACACTCACAATTGCACCCATGCTGCTCTGTCCTCTCCCTCCGGAAGGCTCTCCTCACCTCTTTCTCCCTCAACACCCTTCCCACCTCTTCCCCAAGCTCCTGGAGCATTTTCCAGGAGCGGCTCGGACACCTAAGCTCTTGGTCCCTGGTTGGCAGACTCTCCGGGGACCGGCTCCTGGGTCAGAACCAAGGAAACCGGGACCACAGGCTTGCCTGGGTCTCCAGAGAGCCTCATAGGTAAGATGGAGAAATGGAGTGTCCAGTAGCCCAGGAGGACCTCCTCCCAGAAACCCTCCCCTACCCATCCCAGGCTGGGGCAGGGTCTGGACAGCCCTGAGTTCCCCTCTTCTCTCTCCTGAGGGGTTTCAGGGAGGAAGCAGCAGTGAATGGGTATGCCCAGGCCCGGGACACACAAGTACACCCAGGAGCAGCAGAGACCCGCGAAGGCAACTTACAGGTTTCTCTGCTCATAGATTTTCCCGCTCTTCTTTGAACCTGCAAGAACAGGCCCAGGTTGGCACAGTCCTGGTGCCAGAACAAGACCTCATCCCCTTGTGCCCTCTGCAGTCCTCTGGCAGGGCCCTAGCCAAGATGTCCATCGCCCTGGGCTACAGTGGCTCACCTTAGGAGAGGCCCCTAGAGAAGGTGGATGCTGTAGGCAGCTCAGCATCCCTTCCATAGTCCAGGGCAAGCCCACCACCCCAGACACTCACACTCCACCCAGATGTCTGCAGCAGGCTGTTTAGAGCCCCCCCAGCTGCCCTGAGGGGCTCACCCTTGCCTCCTGAGACTATGACTGCCCCTTCCAACTCCTCTCTCCACGATCCCACACCCTCATCTTTACCTGGGTGGGAGCAGCGCACACACAAGCCAGCTGCTGCCCCCAACAGCAATAGTAGCAGTATCCCGCTCCACAGCAGCTCTGGCTCCAGACTCATGTTTGCCCCCTGCAGCCCTCCTGCAAGTGTGCAAGTGGGGGCGGAGAATGAGGGACCCACTGGCCACCCCCACCCGGCTCCCCATACTCAGGATTCTCACCCACACTGCCGTCTAACATTAGAGCCCTGTCCTCTCCCGGACCTGAACCAGCCAACCCACCTGACCCCAAATCAGCACCCCATCCCCCCCATCACCAACACTTGGTAATTGCTGGAAGGTTCTGCGCCCACCAGACAGCAGCATGCACAAGTATACGGTCCTCACGTGCCCTCACCTAACCCACACCAACTATGCCAAGGCCTCCATTTCACAGGTAGAGAAACTAAGGCTGGAGACTCCACAGTTGCTGAGTGAGAGGGCAGGATGAAACCCAAACTCTGGCTGCATTCACACCTCCCACTGTCTCCTGCAAGCCCAACTTCACTGCCTGAGGTCCTAGTCCAGGCTGGACATCCCCCTCTCCCCAGGACTCAGGAATCTTTTGTGCCCCCTTCATGGCTTCCTGGGTGGTTCCCATTTCTTCAACCCTGTCGTGGAGCTGAGAGGAGGGAGTTGTCCTCAGAAGCCACAGAGGGAGCCTGAGGTCTGAGTGAGCCCTAGTCAGAACCGAGGCTGCTCTGGTGGCTTGTGGTGGGGTGGGGTGCTGGGGGACACTGCGAAGGAGACGGCCAGTGTGAGGAGGCCCTAGACACCGGACTTGCGTGGGGCCTTGGCCTGGTCAGGGAAGCCACAGGCACTCAGCAAGGTGACCCAGGAAGAGAAACATGAGGAATGATTGACCACAGAGTCTCTTTGCACTGCCCGGGGACTCAGCGAGGGCAGCAGGACACTGGTGTACCTGCTCTACTGAACACCTCTCTGGACTCACCTGTCTTCCAGCCCCACGCCGCACAGCTGGGAAAGCCTGATGTGCCTCAGTTTCCCCTCTAATCACCATTCAGGCCCCTGAGGGCTAGGCTGGGCCCAGACTGCCTGGTTAGCTGGCTGTGTGGCCCTCAGAGCTCTGAGCCCGGAAGACAGGGCAAGTCCCAGTGCTGTGGCAATGACGCTGCATCGCTGAGCCAGCAGCTGGCCTACCATAGGGCCCACCTCTCCCTCCCTAGAAACCTCAGTGAGTCAGTGGAAGAACAAACTGTCCCGATCACGTGATGGGCAGAAGGAAGATCCCTGCCACCCCGAGACCTTGTTTGAGGGCAGGAGCTGGGTGGGCCTCATCCTTGGGTGCCCACCTTGGGCACTGTGGATGAGGGTGGGGTGGAGCCTGAGAGGGTCTGTCATGAGGCCCAGCAATGAAGGGAGCCACAACCGTCACTGCCCCTGCCCTTGCCGTAGTCCCTCCATCCCCCTGGAAGGGAAGGGACAGCTGGTGGCCAGTCAGAGCCAGGCCCTGGGTGATCCGCAACACCATGGAGAACCCTAACCAGAACTTGCTGACTGGTTCACCTCACAGACCACACAAGGCCAGGTGGTTAGGCCCAGGATGAGTGACCGAAGGGCAGACAGTGGGAATCATGTGACCTCCCAGGCCAGCCCCATCTCTCAGGACTCAAGCAGTGACTCAGGAAATCAGCCCCAGGACAAGCTGACTCCAGACCCCACAAGCTTCGCCCCTTTGTTTATAGTAAACTCTTTAAATCCTGAAAATTTTTTCTAAAGGAAGGCTAATTTAGCTAATGTTCTTGCACCAGCTTTTCTCCCCCCTTCCCCCCACCCCCTCCCTGAGAGCTCTGGCCCATTTGCCACCAGATCCTGAAAGCAGGTGGGTGATGGGTGGGAGGGAGAGGGGCAGGTTCCCAGGAGGCCCCAGGGGGGCCCAGGCAGGGCTGGGTGGGGTGGGGTGGGGAGGCCCCCACAGCCCCAGAGCTCTGGCGGCCGAAATAGCTCAAAGGGAAGTGGGCAGTTTTCACATGAGCAGGCTTGCAGCCAGTGACAGCTGAACATTCTGGGGCTTTGCTGGGGTGCTCTGGCTGCATCCAAGCATCCTGCTTGAAAGGACTCTTGCGGACCCTCCTCTTCATGTAGCAGATGGGGAAACTGAGGTCCAGTGAGGGCAGGGATGGGCAGAGCTGGTGGGGTGGGGGAGGGGTGTGGATCCTGAATAATCGTTTATACAGGGGACTGTGCTCTGGGACCTACTCCCTTTTCCTCAAATAACCTTGGACTTCCGTGTGGCTGGCTGAGAGGCCCTAAGAATGGGGTTTCAGGTGCCAAGGTGGACAGAGGATGGGCAGGGGGGTTGGTAGTGGAGGGGTCTGGGCAGCCCCAGTCCCAGGGGTGGGGTGGTGGGGTGAAGGCAGAGTGGTTGGGAGCCCGAGCCCCCCTCCAATGTTCAGACACAGGGCGGCCCAGCAGAGAACTGGCCAGCGAAATAGGAGTTAGGTGCAGCTGGATAAGAGTCGTGGGGGAAGCAGGCGGCAGACCTACAGAATCTCACACAGACATGAGTCTCCATTTTACAGATGAAGAAACTGAGGCACATGGGCCTGCACCTGCTTGGAGCTGGTCTTTTGGCTGTACCTCAGCAGTCTCGGGGAATGATGGGCGCCACACTGGGGGCTTCCCTGGGCTGTTCAAGGGTAGGAAGCAGGCTGGAGCCCCAGGAAAACATGCCCCTCTCAACTCGGGGTGAGGACCCATAGCCAGGGGCGCCCTTCCATCCCATGTAACTGGACCCCCAAGTACTCCTGCTGGGCCAGCAACCCCCACAACACACACATCGTGGAGTGTACAGAGAATGTCCCCAGGAACTGCTGGAAAAGACTTACCTGAGAATCGGGGTTCCTCACTGTGGACCCCCCATCCTGAGCCCACACACCTGCTGAGCTGACACCAACACCAGGAACACTCGGCGGGCTTCCTGTCAGCCCCTGAACCATCCTGCACACATCCGCTAACCTGCTGGACAGGCGGGCTATTAACAGAGAGCGAAACAGAGAGACACACACAAAGGGAGGGGCAGAGAGAGAGAGGAGGGAAAGACACAGAGAGACAGAAGCACAGAGAGAGACATAGATCATAAGGCTTGGCCATGTGACCTGGCATGATTGGGAAATTGGCAATCAAGGAGTTTGGGAAAACCGGGCTTATTAGTCAGAGAGAGACTGGGGGACCCAGAGGCTATATATAGCCTTCAACCAGCTTTTAGGTCTGGAAAGGCGCTCACCCTCATGGACATTCAGCCACTGTAAAGGAGGGAACGGCCAATCATTCAAAATCAAAGGAGCAGCAAACACCTAGGGACAAAGTTGAGAAGGGACAGGAAGGAGGGTGGAATGGAGATAGGAAGCACAGGGAGGAAGTGGGGTAACTGTTGTTACAGGGAGGGGATTGTAATCATTGAGACGAAACAAAGTGTGTGATTTGTTGAATGTAAAATTTATGATCTCGTCTGTAAACCTTCACTCAATTCACAATAAAAAGTTAAAAAAAAAAAAAAAAAAGAAGAAGTAGCAGCTTGGGGAAAAGACATGCGGTAAACCAGTAATGACAAACGCTACCGTACAAAGTGATATAGCACACTGTTACGTGCCTTCCTCAGAAACAACAAAGAAACACAGTCCAATCCTGCAGGAGATTAAATTGAGCTCAGTGCCGCCACTATAATGATCCTGAGAGTCAGGCCACGTGGAATATCAAACAAAGCACATCTAACGTGAGTGCCGGCAGTTTAAGTGTATCAGCCGCTCTGCAGGAAAAAGATGAGGCTTTCTGTTCCCACTAAGATTTATAACCTTGGAGACTTATAGCACTTAACAACAACAACAACATTAATTAAACCATGGTGGTGGTGGTTATGTGCTGTGCAGTTGGTTCCGACTCATAGATACCCTGTATAGGGTTTCTGAGGCTGTAGATATTTATGGGAGCAGAAAGCCTAATCTTCTTCCCATGGAATGGTTGGAGTTTCCAACTGCTGACGGTGAGGTTAGCAGTTCAACTCATAACCACAACACTACCAGAGCTCCTTTTCTCTGTTTGTTGTTGTTGTTGTTGTTAAGTACCGTCAAGTCGGTTCCCACCCATAGCAACCCTGTAGAGGGTTTCCAAGGAGTGACTGGTGAGCTTGACCCACCAACCTTGCAGTTTAAACTGACTTTGCAGTTTAGTGCATTAACCCACAGCGCCACACCAGTACTCCTTGTTCAGTGGCCTCTGTCACCACCCAGGCTCCGTGCGGCCTCTGTCCTGTGTGGGCAAGTATGACAGCTCTTTAGTTCTGCCAGCAAGCCTCCTGCCTGAGGATACTCAGCTCTCTGTCCATGGACTGGTCAGCCCACCATGCTGCCTCACATCCATCTCTTGGCTCCTCTTGCTGGAACTGCTGCCACCGGTTTGTCTTCCAGTGGATTCTGCTGAGCTCACCACAGTTTCTCGCCATTTCACACCATCTTCTGAGTTACAGCTCTCCTGAGTCGATAAGGTTCTCAGCACAGGGACCTTGGATCCAAAGAGACTCTTAATGGTAGTGAGGTTCCCCCTTGACCTTCTGTGGGATTGGTCCTAATATAAATCTAGCATGATGGCAAAATGGATCAAATCCCAAACCATAGCTGGACAAGGGGTTCAATCCTATTGAGTGGATTTGTGCATTTGAGTTGTGGTGTTGGTGAAGAATACTGAAAGTCTCATGAACTTCCGGAAGAGCGAGCAAATCTGTCTTGGAACAAGTACAATCAGAATTCTCCTTAGAAGCCAGGATGGCTGGACTTCATCCTCATACTTCAGACATATTATCAGGAGGGACCTGTCCGTGGAGAAGGATATCATGCTTGGTAAAGTGGAGGGTCAGCGAAAAAGAGGGAGACCCAACAAGATGGATTGGCACAGTGGCAGCAGCTGTGGGTTCAGGCACAGCAACAATTGTGAGAATGGTGCAGGACTGGGCAGCGTTGGGTTTCATTCTGCTGATCATAAGGGCATAGGGTCATTATGAGTCTGAACTGATTTGATGGCACCTAACAGTAACAACAATTTGCATAATAATCAACCAATCACTTGA